GACGTGAAACTGTCATAAAACTGACATTTTTCAAGAGGAGCAGCACGTATCTTCTTACAAGAACGTGTTGGGGATCGTGTAGTGTCATCAAATGGTCACCTCTGATATTTGGTTTCCATAGACAGCTACTTCTGCTCTTGTCACTAAAAGTCCCCGAATTTTAGAAATTCACGATAGTGATGCGCACAGCCCTTTTTCAACATCATATGTTTACATTAATTTCACGTTCAGAAAGTTTTTCATCGCGTAGAACCACATTTTAAGCACACTTCGTGGAAGGGAAAGTGAGGATTTATTACCTATACATATTTCACAACACAAATACTATCTCAATGGCTGCTAATTTGGCAATGACATACATTTTGGGACCATAAATCATGTCTGAATAGTGGTTAATGCAATAATAAACAATCTATTGCAACATGCAATCTCATATGATACGAAGTAATTCATGAAAATATTCTTGTTTCAGCTAAGTGGTCTTAAATTTTAGTTAATGACTAGATACACGATTACAATACACATTAGAAACACATTTAGAGATTCATTGCACCTATTTATATAGAGACCTGAATCTTGTCTAAACCTTTTCCATGAGAGTTTTCTTATTTCTATGGAGATGAAGCTTCACTACTATTCTACTAATATACGAGAGAGTGCTGAAAAGTTCTCGGCTACACATGCATCACAAATTTAGAAAAAATGGTCAAATTTCAAATTCGGTAAATACCTGCTTGTTCAGACATAGATCCTTTCAGTGCCCCCCCACACACATATATATATATATATATATATATATATATATATATATATATATATATATGCATGCAAGTGGTCGTTGAAGTGAATACTCAGAGGCTACAGCCTGTTTCATGCTTAAACGCAATCGCCAGGCATGAAACAGACTCTCGACTTCAACGTCCACTTTTATATTTTCATACGCTTTGTCTCTGATATTGATCACTTTAACACATGTTACATGCTGTTCTTTGAATATACACTATATATATTTATATATATATATATATATATATATATATATATATATATATATATATTATAATATTTTAGTTAAGAAGGAGGCAGAAAAAAAGTTTTAAAATTTTTATGGGTATGTCTTCTTTGACTCTTAAACTTTTAAACTCTTAAATAAAATACCATTCTGTTTTCAAACGTAAATCATTTTCTTCCAAAGTTACCCAACATCGCTTGATAATGGAACAGATTTAAGTTCCAATATATAGAAATTTCCGTGTCACGATGTAAAATATTTTTTAAATAAAAATATTATAATATTATGCTCTACGTTGTATCAAGCACTTTTTTTTAATGATAAAGAACTGTGGATTCTATACCTGACTCTGTGTGTGTGTGTGCGTGCGAGCGCGCGTGTGTGTGTGTATGTGTGTGCGTGTGTACGTGTGAGTGTGAGTGATATAGAGAAAGAGAGAGAGAGTGATTGAGTGATCTTTTTGGTGTAAAATTATATATATATATATATATATATATAGTTAAGTTTGAAGAATTTGGTAAACCGAATTGGTAAATCCAAGGAGGATGAAATCCTGAGAGCTCAATGTGAATAACAGAGCTAATATTTAATGAACAACAGACACTTCAAGGTACCATGACAATAATTTATTTCACCAAAATCCTTTTAATGGATTTTGGATCATCAAATAACACTTGGAAGTGTTACCTGATTATCAAAATCCCTTAAAAAGGATTTTGGTGAAATAAATTATTGTCATGGTACCTTGAAGTGTCTGTTGTTCATTAAATTTATATATATATATATATATATATATATATATATATATATATATATATATATATATGTAGGATAAGTGCGAATTATCAGAAAACGAGAGATTTTATAGACTGCGTGGCCAAACTAATAACTCTGTATTTTGATGTGGGATTCGCCATAACTCAATGCGATCTTGAGATCAAAACTAGACCATGTGTAAATATAAAAGTGAACAATGAGGTCAAAACTGAGTGGCAATAGCCTGGATCACACTTGAACGCAATCTTAAGGCCATGTGAGTTGTTTGGTGGCTCGACTATTTATATATGTTGGTCAATGGGGCATTATGGTTAGCATGATCAGACCGTTACTACACCAGACAGTTACTAGCTTCGTTCCCTTTACATATTCGCTATACACTATAACAATTTCACATTGGATTTTCTGCTGAACATTGATCTTTCACGTATTTCACATTGAATCTTTGTGTTTGTCCATCGTTTAATAGTAAACCATTTTTGTACTCATTTTTCACATTTTTTTAAATGTTTCACCCCAAGCAAGACGGGAAGCTACTAGCACGCAAGAAGTTACAGAGAGTTGGAGAAAGTGCAAATAGGAGTGATAGAAGAAAGAATGAAGAGAAGGATAGGTGATAGATCAAGGCATCTGGAGACGTCGATTGACATTACATTTAAATAGTTGGAGATTATAGCTATCAGGAAAACAGGAAGAGGGGAAGGAGTTCAACAGGCGAGAGGTGCGAGAGATGAAGCTATTAGAGTAGAAGAGACGGCTACATTTAACAGTTTCTATAGTGTAAGGGTGAGAGCGAGATGCCAGCCTAGTTGAGTGCTTAAATTCATGAAGTCTGGGAACCAGCGAAAGCAGCTCCTCGGAGCAGTTACCATGAAAATATTTGTAAAAAAGACAGATGGAATATTAAATTTTGACTATTATAAGAAATATTGAACCTTCCTTGTTTTTTATTTACTTCTCTCAAAATCTTTACACTATTTATGTCTTCCGGACTGTTTTCCTCATCTTTATTGCCATATTCAAGACATTTCGGCCGTTGTACGCTCCGATCCTCTTCAGGTGATATGCATTGGAATTTCGAACCGAACCCTTTATTTAGTTCACGGGGATAGATTGTTCTAATTCAACGCGCCATGCCTCTTTTGGGGTTATCTCACCATCAGTTAATTCCTTTTAGTAACTCATCTCTCCAAGTTTTTGTTCCCCTCTGCTGTGGTCAGCTATTAAACCCACAATTCTTTGGGTTATAAGTCACTTTTAGGATTACTCAATCCAACGCTTTCATTCACTGGACCATGTCTCCCTGGAGACAACAGTCGAAACGTCGTGAATATGGCAATAAAGATGAGGGTAACAGTCCGAACGGTGTAAATAGTGTAAATAGTTAAAATACTTTATCTCAGAAATATCAAAAGCTCTCACAATGTTTAATTTTCAGTCGACTTATAATTTTCGGACGTATGTTTATAAAGATATTTATTTTGAAACATATCTACACTGACGAAAATTGAAATTGCAATAGCCACATTATGAGTTTCAATTTACTCAAAATAATATTACTGTATTATTGTAAATGATCGCGTATACAGAGAAATACGTGAACTGGCTTTTAAATGAGGGGCTTATCATTTCATGCCATATATTAATAATCTGGACATCCTCCTCAGACGTCAACACACTTCTGCACTATGACATGCATTAAAGACGAAAAATGCCAATACATTATTCCATATTTCTTGCACCTACTGACGTCGTACATGAAAAGCGACATATGGACTAACTAAGCGAACCAAACGAGATTAAGGAGAACGTGGTGATCTCGAAAAAGGATATTGTGGAAGATTGGATAGATTTGTGACGTCTCAGAAGGACTTATTTGAATGAGACGAAGGCGCCATTATTCAAGGTAGGCTTCTTTCGTTAATATTAAATATGTATCTACTTTCTTAACAAAATCCGAAATTTATTCAATTGACTAATGACAAAAATCATAGTAAGTGTAATTATCTTGCAAGCGATTGTTAGCAGCCTGTTTTATATTTGATTTCTTTACAAAAATTATGTAAAAAAAGAAAGTTAAAACTGATGGGATTATATTCCTTCGTTTCACAAAGACCAGCTGAAATCAGCCATGTCATGAGCACCTCATTCCCTTAATTGGTAAACAAGATGTTTCAATCGGGCAGCTTCTCCCGAAAAAACATTACATTGTGGAAGAAACTCCTGAGAGGATGCTTCCCTGATCAGTAGAATCTTTACCGCTTTAAGTTTCGGGTTAACCGTTATATATTCTCAACAAATTAATTCAGGAACCCTCTGTCTTGAGTGACTCTCGGGTCTTGTATCAGGTAAACAACAGTAAAAGAAAAAGTTACATGATACATTTCAACAAATATTTAATTTACAACAGATGCTTGAGAGGGTTACCAACACTATTAGCGTTCGAACCCATTTAAAAGACCACGAGTTGGAATGTTGATTTTAAAGGCAAACAGCTATGCCAATCTTGAAATGTAGGAATAACACAGACGTTTTTACCCTCAGGATATACTGAAATCAAGATTTTGAATAAAGACTTTCAAGACATTGTAATATTGGCTCAACATAATCTTTCTTCTACTTGCCACTGGGCCAGACGAAGTTGTATATCAATATGTAATTCTTATCTCAAAGCAATCGATAAAAACAACGCATGATTCTGGAAATTTCATCAGATCTTCCGATAAAATGTTGCTTCTTTCCGATACAAATTCCATTTTTAAAGAAATGTGGATCTGGAACTAGAAGAATTCAATCAGTTAAAAATATTTCCATAAGAACACAACTCGATAATGTTTAAATGTTGGCGCATGTATGTGAGCTTACAATGGGAAATAATGACTCTTTTCATGAGTGAAAATGTCTTTAGGATACGGAAGGGATGCACTCAGAGATATGCAATTATTGCAGTTACCAGTGCACCAGGGTTGGTAGACATATGTTGACGCGCACCTTATTTGCAATGTTCAGCAACAAACTGTGTTTTTTTCAGATCTTCAAAGTCAGAAAATCTACCGACTTTGAAAATTAGCATTCGTAGTCTAGAGTCTTACTCTTATTTGTGTTCAAATTGTGTTTCTAGTAACTAGTAGCTTGTAACTAAAAGAAAGAGAAAGATAAAAAAAAAGAAAGAAAGGACGTAGCAAAATGAAAGAGAATGAGGGAAAGACAGTTAAAAACAGTGAGTAGTAAAAAGAAAGAAAAAGAAAGAAAGATAAAAACAGAGTAGCAAAAAGAAAGAAAGAAAGAAAGATAAAAAACAGAGTAGCAAAAAGAAAGAAAGAAAGAAAAAAAGATAGCAAAAAAAGAAAGAAAACAAAGAAAGAAAGAAAAAAAAAACAGAGTAGCAAAAAAAGAAAGAAAGAAAGATAAAAACAGCGTAGCAAAAAGAAAGAAAGAAAGAAAGAAAAAAAAAAAAAGGTAAAAGAAAGAAAGAAAGAAAAACAGAGAAAGAAAGAAAACAGAGTAGCAAAAAAAGAAAGAAAGAAAGATAAAAAACAAAGTAGCAAAAAGAAAAGAAAGAAAGAAAGATAAAACAGAGTAGCAAAAAAAAGAAAGAAAGAAAGAAAGATAAAAAACAGAGTAGCAAAAAAGAAAGAAAGAAAGAAAGAAAAAAAAAAAGAGAAAAGTAGCAAAAAAGAAAGAAAGAAAGAAAAGATAAAAACAGAGTAGCAAAAAGAAAGAAAGAAAGATAAAAACAGAGTAGCAAAAAGAAAGAAAGAAAGAAAGATAAAAACAGAGTAGCAAAAAGAAAGAAAGAAAGAAAGAAAGAAAGATAAAAACAGAGTAGCAAAAAGAAAGAAAGAAAGAAAGATAAAAACAGAGCAAAAAGAAAGAAAGAAAGAAAGATAAAAAACAAAGTAGCAAAAAAGAAAGAAAGAAGAAAGAAAGATAAAAACAGAGTAGCAAAAAGAAAGAAAGAAAGAAAGAAAGATAAAAACAGAGTAGCAAAAAAAAAGAAAGAAAGAAAAAAAAGATAAAAACAGAGCAAAAAAAAAAGAAAGAAAGAAAGATAAAAAACAGAGTAGCAAAAAAAAAAGAAAAAAAAATAAAAAACAAAGAAAGCAAAAAAAAATAAAGAAAGAAAGATAAAAAAACAGAGAGCAAAAAAGAAAGAAAGAAAGAAAAGATAAAAACAGAGTAGCAAAAAAAGAAAGAAAGAAAGAAAAAAAAAGAGTAGCAAAAAAGAAAGAAAGAAAGAAAGAAAGATAAAAACAGAGTAGCAAAAAAGAAAAAAGAAAGAAAAAAAGAAAAAAAAGATAAAACAGAGTAGCAAAAAAAGAAAGAAAAGAAAAGAAAAAAAAGAAAGAAAAAACAAAAACAGCAAAAAAAGAAAGAAAGAAAGAAAAGAAAGAAAAAAAAAGAAAGAAAGTAGCAAAAAAGAAAGAAAGAAAGAAAGATAAAAACAGAGTAGCAAAAAAAAGAAAGAAAGAAAAGAAAGAAAAAGAAAGAAAAAAAAAAGAAAAGCAAAAAGAAAAAAGAAAGAAAAAAACAAGATAAAAACAAAGAAAAAAAAGAAAGAAAAGAAAAAAAACAAAGTAGCAAAAGAAAAAAGAAAAAAAAGAAAGAAAGATAAAAAACAGAGAAAGCAAAAAAAAGAAAGAAAGAAAAAAAGAAAAAACAGAGTAGCAAAAAAAAAGAAAGAAAAGAAAAACAGAAAAAAGAGAAAGCAAAAAGAAAAAAAGAAAAAAAAAAGAAAAAAAGAGAAAGAAAAAAAAAGAAAAAAGAAAGAAAGAAAGAAAGAAAGAAAAAACAGAGTAGCAAAAAGAAAAGAAAAAGAAAGATAAAACAGAGTAGCAAAAAGAAAGAAAGAAAGAAAAAAAGAAAAAAAAGAGTAGCAAAAAGAAAAAAAAAAAGAAAAAAAGAGAAAAAAAAAAAGAAAAGAAAGAAAGAAAGATAAAAAAAGAGTAGCAAAAACAGAAAGAAAGAAAGAAAGAAAAAAAGAGTAGCAAAAGAAAGAAAGAAAGAAAGATAAAAACAGAGTAGCAAAAAAAGAAAGAAAGAAAAAAAAAAAAGAGTAGCAAAAAGAAAAGAAAGAAAGAAAGAAAAAAAAAGAGAAAGAAAAAGAAAGAAAGAAAAAAGAAAGAAAAAAAACAGAGTAGCAAAAAGAAAGAAAGAAAAGAAAGAAAAAAAACAGAGTAGCAAAAAGAAAGAAAGAAAAAAAGAAAGAAAAAAACAGAGTAGCAAAAAGAAAGAAAAAAGAAAGAAAGAAAGAAAGATAAAAAAAAGAGTAGCAAAAAGAAAGAAAGAAAGATAAAAACAGAGTAGCAAAAAGAAAGAAAGAAAGAAAAAAAAAAAGAGAGAAGCAAAAAAAGAAAGAAAGAAAGAAAAAACAAAGATAAAAAAAGAAAGAAAAAAAGAAAGAAAGAAAAAACAGAAAGAAAGAAAAAGAAAGAAAAAAAAAACAGAGTAGCAAAAAAAAGAAAGAAAGAAAGAAAGAAAGATAAAAAAAAGAGTAGCAAAAAAGAAAGAAAGAAAGAAAGATAAAACAGAGTAGCAAAAGAAAAGAAAGAAAGAAAAAAAGATAAAAACAGAGAAAAAAAGAAAGAAAGAAAGATAAAAAGAAAAAAGAAAGAAAAAAAGAAAAAAACAGAGTAGCAAAAAGAAAGAAAGAAAGAAAGAAAGATAAAACAGAGTAGCAAAAAAAAAAGAAAGAAAGAAAGAAAAACAGAAAAACAGAGTAGCAAAAAGAAAGAAAGAAAGAAAGAAAGATAAAAACAGAGTAGCAAAATAAAGAAAGAAAGAAAGAAAGATAAAAACAGAGTAGCAAAAAGAAAGAAAGAAAGATAAAAACAGAGTAGTAAAAAAAAGAAAGAAAGAAAGATAAAAACAGAGTAGCAAAAAGAAAGAAAGAAAGAAAGATAAAAACAGAGTAGCAAAAAGAAAGAAAGAAAGAAAGATAAAAACAGAGTAGCAAAAAGAAAGAAAGAAAGAAAGAAAGATAAAAACAGAGTAGCAAAAAGAAAGAAAGAAAGATAAAAACAGAGTAGCAAAAAGAAAGAAAGAAAGAAAGAAAGATAAAAAACAGAGTAGCAAAAAGAAAGAAAGAAAGAAAGATAAAAACAGCGTAGCAAAAAAAAAAAGAAAGATGTTGTGTATGATACACCTAATTTAAAAAGAAAGAAAAGAAACCATATAAATATGGGTTGGTAAAAAAAACGAAAGAAAGAAAGAAGAAAAAACGAATCCAGAAACTCTGCCCGACTGCGACAGAGTCAACCCATTCTGCAGGAACAGTGTTCCCAAGAATATACAAAAAAAGAAAAAATATTGATAAAAACATTGTTTCAAAACAAAAAAAAACGTAAAAAGAAAGAAAGATAAAATTATTATTCCAAAAAAAACAGAAAGAAAGAAAAGAAAGAAAGATAAAAACAGAGTAGCAAAAAGAAAGAAAGAAAGAAAAAAAGATAAAAAACAGAGTAGCAAAAAGAAAGAAAAAAAGAGTAAAACAAAAAGAAAGAAAGAAAGAAAGAAAGATAAAAACAGAGTAGCAAAAAAAAGAAAGAAAGAAAGAAAAAAAACAGAGTAGCAAAAAGAAAGAAAGAAAGATAAAAACAAAAGAGTAGCAAAAAGAAAGAAAGAAAGAAAGAAAGATAAAAAAAAGAGTAGCAAAAAGAAAGAAAGAAAAGAAAGAAAGATAAAAAGAGAGTAGCAAAAAAAGAAAAGAAAGAAAAAAAAAACAGTAGCAAAAAAAAGAAAGAAAGAAAAAACAGAAAGATAAAACAGAGTAGCAAAAAAAAAGAAAGAAAAAGAAAAGAAAGAAAGAACAGAGCAAAAACAGAGTAGCAAAAAAAAAGAAAGAAAGAAAAGAAAAAAAAAGAGAGTAAAAAAGAAAGAAAGAAAAAGAAAGAAAGATAAAACAGAGTAGCAAAAAGAAAGAAAGAAAAAAGTGGAAAGAAAGAAAAAAAAAAACAGTAGCAAAAAAAGAAAGAAAGAAAAGAAAGAAAGAAAAAAAGA